TTTTTCTATTGGTCCGTTAATCATTCATCTCTCTTTTTTCCCAATTGCGTCAACCATGTCGTTCAAGTTTCCGTCCTTAAAACAGTTTAAACATATTCGGAGGACAATGGACGAATGGCGCCGATGGGAGGTGGAGCTGAAAGAACTTCCTGCAAAAGCATCAAGAGCTAGTTCGACAGGCAATGACGGTCGCCCGGCTGACAATCGTGCGAGGAGGAACTACGATGAATGTCTTTATCTCGCATACAAGAAGGGGTTATCGCTCATCTTGAATGGTGAGGAGATACCCGGGATCACTGACAGAAACCATTTAGACGATCCTCCTTGGAGTTTAAGATCGTTCAAATCGCGCATTGGTGGCCTCGACACTGACGAGGATCCAGCAGCGCATGCTAAAACATCGCCACAACTTCAACCGCCACCCTCACGGCTACTAGAAGAATCAGAAGCGTCACCCCAACTGCAAAACAAACAAGGGTGGTCATTGACGGTCATGAAATTTACGGTAAAGCAAACGACATCGACAACAATGTATCTAGCGACAACGACGCTGCTGCTCCATCCGCCAAAGGTGACACAGTGCGAAATGACAAAGATGACGCATCTCGTAATACCGAAGATGATGCAACTCATGATACCGACGGTGATGCAGCTCGTATTGGTGTTCGTGATACCCCACGTAACGCCGGTATTGATGTCACTCGTGAGTTTACTCGTGATGTCGACGGTGACGCAGCTCGTATTGATTTTCGTGATACCGCACGTAACGCCGGTATTGATGCCACTCGTGAGCTTACTCGTGAGCTTACTCGTGATGCTGACGATGATGCCCTTCGCAACATTGCTCGTAATACTGTCTTGGATGCCAAAGCTGCCGTCGCTTGAGATACTGCTCGACGAGTCAAACGTGATGCCAACGGTGACTCCGGTCGTAGTACGGCAATTACCGAACGGGGTGTTGAAGTAACGAACGACTACAACGCTACTGCTCCATCCGCCAAAGGTGACACAGCGCGTAATACCAAAGATGACGCATCTCGTAATACCGAAGATGATGCAACCCATGATACCGACGGTGATGCAGCTCGTATTGGTGTTCGTGATACCCCACATAGCGCCGGTATTGATGCCACTCGTGAGCTTACTTGTGATGCCGACGGTGACGCAGCTCTTAGTACGGCAATTACCGAACGGGGTGTTGAAGTATTTAACGACTACGACGCTGCTGCTCCATCCGCCAAAGGTGACACAGCGCGAAATGACAAAGATGAAGCATCTCGTAATACCGAAGATGATGCAACTCGTGATGCCGACGGTGACGCAGCTCGTATTGATTTTCGTGATACCGCACAAAACGACGGTATTGATTCCACTCGTGAGCTTACTCGTGATGCCGACGATGATTCTTCTCGCGACACTGCTCGTAGGATGCCAAAGCTGCCGTCGCTTGAGATACTGCTCGACGAGTCAAACGTGATTCCAACGGTGACGCCGCCGGTCGTAGTACGGCAAGTGATACCGAACGGGGTAATGCCGAAGGTAATTCCGCTCGTAATAGTGGCTGTGATGTAGAAGGTGACGTCGAAGGTTGTATTACTTGTGCCGCCAAATTTGTTGTGGAAGGTAACTCCGCTTATGATTATACTTGTGGTGCTGGATGTGACGCCGAAGACGATGCTGAAGTTGACGTCTAAGGTACTGCCGCTTGTGATATTATTCTTCATACTGCTCGTGATACTTCTCGTGATGCCGGATGTGGCGCTGAAGCCAGAGCAAGAGACTAAAGATGTTGCAGAGAAAAAGGCAGGAGCCCAATTGCTAAAGCGACAAATGCAAAAGGAGCAAAAGCAGTCGAATCGGCGGGTGAATGAAGAAGCGACAATCAAGTCATCAATGGGCAAAGCATCGATTATTGAAGCAGCGGTGATCGACGCAGGCAGCAAATAACCGACTCCGAAGAAATTGACTCGTAAGAGAAAGCAGTCTGAACGAGAGGTCGCGCGTGAACTAGTACAAACTCGTTCGAGTTCCCGCTTGGCATTGTAGGAGCTTTATTAAAAAGTTAAAAAAAAGCAGCTAAGGTAACACATTTCTAGCGTTGCGCAAGTCTTGCTTTATCTCTATGTAACGTGTATCATTCATAAGATCGTTGACATCGTATTCGGCTAGCAGGTCCTGGATGATGGCCTGAAACGTTCCAAGGTTAAAGTCGCTAACGCCTAGTACAACTTTCGATCTGCAGTTCCGGAACTTAATACCGGTAGCTGCTGCTTGCTGTTTCAACAAATCATACACCCGAGTGTTATAAAGAAACAAGTAGAGACAAATACAAAACACATACCCCTCGTCCGCCAAGGGCGATCATCAAACGCATGTTGGCCTCGCCAACAAAGGCATTTCTCAAAGCAATGCCGTTGCCGACAAGCTGAAATGGCAGCAACTCTCGCACGCCCTCTTGACACGCCTTCGCAACGGTCGTCGATACATATGTTCGCTGACCGACAATGTAACGAACCTCGTACACTCCGCACTCTTTTTCCTCGAACATGAGCGCAATGCCGTGTTCCTTGCTCACAGGCCTCGGATGTGTCATCATTCGCTTTTGTAGGTTATAAAGCCTGTCGAACGCCTGGACGTGCGCATCTTGCAATCCGTCCAGTTTCCTGCTAACATTGTCGATCAACTTCTTTTTGGTTTCGATCAGTTTCATCCGTTCAATATGGTGCGTTTTGATCAACTCCTTTTTAGTCCCAATCAAGGCGTCGTTTGTCTTGACCAACTCGTTGTTTGTTTTGGTGAGTCTCGACAGTTCTACAACGTGTTTCGTGACAAGTCTGGACCGTTCTGCATGGTGCGTCTCGATTAACATGTCAACAGTGTCAATCAACATGTTGCTAGTCGCGACGAGTCTCGTGCATTCTGCATGGTGCGTCCCGATTGAACTGTCGTCAGTCTTGACAAGTCTCATTCTTCTTTGCATGGTGCGTCTCGATTACACTATTGTTAGTCTCGACAAGTCTTTTCCGTTTTTTATGGTGCCCCCACCAAGATGTTGTCAGTCTCGATAAGTCTTGTTCGTTCTGCGTGGTCTACATTCTTGAGCAACCTGTTAACAGCTTCAATTAAACGGTTGTTCGTCTCGATGATTTTTTGCCGTTCTGCATGAGGCTCAGTAAGCCCTACCCTCCTATATTGCAAAATAGTGAGTTCATCAGCGTGACGGATGCGCTCTTTACGCAGGGTCTCATCAAGCTCCACGATACGCGCACGGAGCCTAGCGTTTTAGATATTTTCCATGTCGGTGCTGCTTGCTGCGCTGCTGTGGTGTCTAGTCAGTGTGTTTGAAAATGGGCGCGAAAGGCCGAGAGTGTGATCGTAATCCTTTTTGTATTGGTCGAGATGGCCAAGGGCGTGACAAGACGGTTTATCGTCTGTGTTAATAAATGCGTTTATATTCGACAGCGTGATCAGAGGC